CCTCCAAGCCTCATGTTCTTTTTGGCCTAGAATTTCTTTATGGAATGTATCACTTTTAATTCATATTTTAGAAGTGGCTTTCTTGACAAGGAATTTTTCTACAATATTTTTGCCTCTTGTATCCAAAATGAAAAAGTCCATGACTAATTAGTTGAAAGTGAAATTACACATGATGTTGTGTAAATAGAAATATTTTCCTGTAGCCTTTTTTTAAAGAAAAGATCAAATACCTCTGATTTTTCTCAAAAGCAGATTTTGCTTAATTTCCTTCCCAATTATTTAAAAGTAGTTTTTTTTAATGAAACTATGTTTCTAGTTAAAAAAAAAAAAACTAAGATAATGAAAAGAACCATCACAATTTTTCCTTGTAAAAGGGCAAAGGTATTGCATGTATGTAGTATGTGATACATATTCATACAAAAGTAATGGATCTGCTTATGTGGAGAGGAGAACTCCTCATGTAGTAACATGAAGCGTTCTGAAACAGTAATTTCCCTTCTGATATCTGAAGTGCCTTGAGGTGTGGTCTAAGGAGAGGAAGGATAAACATGCATGGTTACACATTTTTAAATTAAAAAAAAATTTCAATTGGGTTTACAAATTTGTCGATCATTGTATCAAAAGCAGGAAACATGTCCCATAAAGATGGCATTAAATTAGGCTAGCTCATGGTATCATGGATTGCACTTCTCATTATGTAAGGCAGGATAATGTAGACATACAACCATTTGGGGAGGGGTTTATACAAAGCCATGGGGCAGTTAATTGGACCTCGTGTTTTTAGAGGTGCCTGATGGTCCTATGACATAGATCATTTGAAGAAAAACCATCCTCAGTGGGACTCAGTTTTAGAAGATTCCATCAAACATCAAAGGGATACTTCGATTTAATTCTCACACTGTGATCTGTGACTTCAGAAATAACATGCTGGTAATGACAGTATGTGACAACCAGAGTCCCAGAGCTGCTCCTGGTTGTGGTCTCTGCATGCTTGTTTGCACCGTCAGACTTACCTCTAAGTGCTGTGGTTTCAGAAGGGTAAATGATAGAGCATGTGGGGTTAGGAGAGAAAAGCTAAGCAAAGCTAATGAACAAATGGAAGCTAAAAAAAACTACTGGAGTTGATGTGAAGGATAGTATAAACCGAAGGGAACCTCTTTTGAGCAGATGATTCTAGCAGTCTTTAAGGATAGGTTTTTGAAGGTCTGCTCTGTTTGAGGTCTCAGTTGGATTGAGATTAAGTGAAAGAATTTTCAGTAGAAGTGAAACTTGACATTGCATTCGGCTATAAAAGAGATGTAGATCAGGGGTATTTTAATCCTGTTTCTTCAGCTACGGTCGGGTCTCTAACCTGACATTTCTTGACACACTCCGTTCCAAAGCTGGGCCAAATGCCTGTGAGCTGAACTCTGTTGCCATCCTACATTTAAGCTGCAATCGCTGTCCATCACTGCTGCAAAACTGGTCTTCCTAATTATCTCTTTTTCTGATCATTCTTATTCTATAGGGATAGACAGTAAGACTGTATCTTGCCTTGTTTGCCACTGTTTGCCCAATACCTACCAAATACATATCTGTTGCTTAATATTTTAAAATCAGAATCTGTTGACTAAATGAATGAATAACTGGACAAGTGTTTATGTGCAGAATCCAAATGATGTAGTAAAAAACTTTCTTCAGTGATCTGTGATGATCTTTATGAATTAGGGATCTTTTGCCCCTCAAATGACTTTATAATTATCACCTTCAAGTGGGTAAATTGCTAAATTATATTCCTGATGAGGTTCTGAAACTTGGTAACATCGCTCTTAGATTTGAATTATTGTTGTAAAATATATAGCACGTATGTTTCAGAAACAAAATTTACATTTATTTATAATTTGGTGAGATCTCATGTTGAGCTATAGTTAAAGTATGTGTAGCTAAATGGCAACTTCCTGAGTCATCATTTATATTGAGTGTAAATCATGTCTAATCTGCTTGTTAACCTGCCCCCCTTACCCCAATGCTTGAATAACAGAGCTGTCCTTTAAAAAAAAGAGTCATTCTTCTGTGTTTTATTTTAGTTAGCCTTCTTCAGTGTATTTGATTTCAAATAATATCCACCTTTAAAATTCAAATAAATTTTTTTGATGCAAACACATCTTTTAAAACACGGAAGAAACACCACTAAATGCTTTTCCTGAGTAGCAAAGGGTAAGTCATGTCTTCAATTCTTCCCTTTACTTCTTGGGTAGCATAAGGGGCTGTAGAGAAGAAATTGGAAAAGCAAGAGGACTCTCAACGTGTCTTAAGACAACTTCTTAAGTTGTCTCTTCATTTCCAGTGTACTCTGATTTTGTTAGGATTGCCCCCCTCTCCTGTTTGTACTTAGTTTGTTCTGAAGAGGTGGCAGGGAGGCTACCTAGGTTCCCCTTCTCACTTTGATCTTTCCTATGTATGTGTAAGTATGAAGACTTTTTCCCACACTCCCTTTTTGAACAGTAAGGAATCATGTCCGGGAGCCCGCACCTGTGACCTTACATGATGCTGCTGGGGATGAGGAAGCAGGGGGATGGATGCTGCCCCTGAGAAGGTGCTGGCTGGGAGTCCAAAACAGCAGCACCAGCAGCAGCAGCAACAATGAAGAAGCAGCAACAAAAACAGCCACTCTAGCAGCCTCCGGGTTAGAGAGAAGATTCTTCTCTTCTCCCACCTTTGCAGCTAAACCCCTTGTCCTCTTCCTCTTGTCTAACATTTCAGTGATGTTTCTTCAAAAACTGTGACAGGCTCACAGAATGGACCTCTACAAAACTAATTTAGTATTTTCTCACAGTGTGCTCTAACTTGGATCAGAAAGACTACCTACGGTCTACCACATCCTATGGTTTACCTTTATTCAGTTGAGTTCAGGTAGCAAGGCCTTCTGCAGGCCTTTCACAAAGCATCAGCAGTCCAGTCCTCTGCCCTACCCGCCTGCCCCGACCTGACCCCTCCGAAATGAGCACACACAAATAGGCCATGCTCTTCCACATTCTAGTGTCTTAGTTTAGGCTATTCCTTGCAGCTGAATAATGCTACCATCCTTTCAGCCTGGTAAATTTCTACCAAACCTTTGATACCCTACAAAAAATACTACTTCCTGCCTCTGCACAGTCATAATGTAATCTGCTTTTTTGAATTCTACATTGCCATAGATTCATGTGAAACTTCAGTCAGAGCTCGTATTACGCTGTATTGCCTGCATTTTTTAAAATGTCAGCATCTCTTCTCAATAAGGCCACTGCACTCCATACACCAGTATGAATAGGCCATCCAATAGAAATACTGTAGCCTTATAGACATTGCCGCTAAATAATGGAATAGGTGTGTGTCTGTGTGTGTGTGTCTCTGTGTGTGTGTGTTTCTCTGTGTGTGTGGGGGGTGTCTCCATCCACAGGCCTGGATTTCATATAGTTTTGAAATGAAGACCTGTTAACATGAAGTTACTTAAAGTATGGGGAGGATATAAGCATTAGCCTTCTAGGAGAAAACCTTCCTGGTTTGTAGAACTTTACCAACCAATTCTCTACCACTCCCTGTTAGTAATTTAACATAACCAGTGATAGAGAATAGTTTGGAGAATTATATGAGACGTGACTAATGTCACAGTCATTGTCAACATTTATTGCAATTTGTATTTGCTTGGCTTAATTCAAGATCATTGCCTTTATATCTGAGTTCATTTATTAGATTGATTATGCTAATTTGAAAAATTCTCCTTGCTGAGACTTTATGGTTTAAATTATTAAATTTCTATATCCAGAGATGTCCTTAGTGCTTTAGCAAGGAGCATTTAGGAGCTCTAGTCTTCTTGGTAGAGAAAGCTTATAGCTACTGTGCAGTAGCACTGTCTGGGAGACTTGAGAAACTTCCACTGTTCATTGGCGGGGGGCAGTGGGATGTGAGCGCTGATGAATATTCAAAGAGGCTTGATGCTTTCTTTGTTCTGCCAGGACTGTGAGGAGGTGAGGGCCATATTAAAGTGGGAGGGATGGAAACAAAGGAATGTGTAGGAGAGATGTTTCAAAGGAAACATTTACAAGACTGGAATAAGTCATCTATAGGCCTGGAGTGGATGGGTTAGGATGATAAAAGAATAAAACAAAAATGAGCAAGTTGAGCATAGCAAACATTCAGAATTTGAGCAGTCACCTTGAGTGGGGCAGGGAAAGGTAAAGTCACTTAAGTCAACTTGAAGATGATGTCATCTGCGGCGTATCTGTAAATACTCTTTAAGCCTTTATGAGAGATCAGTAGAGGCATGAAGTTTACGCCAAGAGCTTGACAACTGCTTTGTGGCTCTTCTTCATATTTCGACATCTTCTGCCCAATCCTTAAAACATTGGCTCACTAAGGAGAAAATGGACAAAAGTAAGCTTAAGACCTTGCCTTGGCTCCTTCCTTTGTCTGCAAAACAGTATCATCTCAGGTAAAATAAAATACTGAATTATTTACAGCCTTAACCAGAAACGTTTGAAGTAGCCTGTGTTTCAGTCTGAGGAGGATGGCTACCTTCTCCTGGCAAAATTTGAGGAGCTGGAAGGACTGGGCTAAAGGGTAGGATGAGGAAGATGAAGAGCTTTTCTCAGCCTCCTGAACTAGGTGGATCTCGAGAGTGTGCTTTCCTTCCTCGAAGGTTTTTGAGATTTCAGAACATTAGTAAACCTGCAAGTATGTGTGGCAGGCAGAAGTGCTCAAGTATGTATTTGAATAAATGCGTATTTTTGGTATCTCCTCAAAAAGTTCACTCCTCTGCCACATGTTGTATAGGGACGTGCCTTCCCATCTTGCTTTCTGAGTGGCAAATCAGGTGAGAATGGGCCACGCTGCACGTGGTTCTTCTCTGCCCACCACAGCGCCAGTGCGATGGGTGTGTCTGTGCAGGACTTCTGTACTGCAGGGCACAGCACAGCAAGATCCCGAGGCTTGCGTTTCGCTGCAGTCACCGCCCATTCTAATCTAGCTTTCTTTCCTTGCAGGTGCACATATCTTGACCAACTCAGAAGCAAGGTGGATTTTCTTTGTGTTTAAGGAAAAGAACAATGTCCCCGTGTCTGTAGAGATGATCTGCGGTTCAGCCCGGCTGAAGCTGACCGAATGAGACTATGGGCTGTGCCTCCGCCAAGCATGTTGCCACTGTTCAAAATGAAGAGGAGGCCCAGAAAGGGAAAAACTACCAGAATGGAGATGTGTTTGGCGGTGAGTCCTACCGAACTTGACTTTTGACCCATCGTTTCTAGGCCTCTCACTATTTCATTGACACATAATATTTGTACATATTTACGGGGTACTTGTGATGTTTTGTTATATGCCTAGAATGTGTCATGATCAAGTCAGAGTATTTACGGTATCTGTCACCTGGAGCATTTGTCATTTCTACGTGCTGAGAACATTTCAAAACCTCTCTTTGAGATATTTGGAAATATACAGTATATTATTTTTAACTGTGTCACCCTGCTCTGTTATGGAACATGAGATCTTGTTCTTTCTAAGCCTTTCACTTTTGTGACAGTAATAATTACAGTGATTAATGGGTTATGCAGTCTGAGGCGAAGGGGTGATGAGACCCAGTGGAAATCAATGTGGATCTTTACATTGGGTCATCGTCATCATAATTCATGCAAAGTGGTCTTTGAGGAGGAACATGGAGGGTTTTTTGGCAGGAGCTAGCATTTCAATCAAGCTTTAAAGAACCAGCAGAATTTAGATTGGTACCTGGGACAGTAGCCACGGGGTGTCCTGGTAGAGGAGAACTCTAGGACTAAAAACAGGAGTCCAAAAGTAGGGTGAGTAAGGATCTATAAATGAGGGAGTGAGTTGTTTTTTAAAAGCGTAATAGAGAATGAATTATGCATTTTCAGATTTAAAATAAAAATACAATGAATCTAATAATCATCATTTAACCTCTCTGCTGAATCAAAATGACTTTAGGATACATAGTGCAAAGGCCACAAATTGGCAACCCATGGCTACATCTGGTCTGCAAATACATTTTTTGCCACACCCTCCCTTCCAAATAATTTTAAAATAAAAAGCAAGGCAGCCTTTAAAAATCAGGATATTTCACATAAAACCCCAAATTTCTTCAAAAGAGCTGGCAACAACAGGTCTTCAGTGACAACAGGTCTTGAGGCAACAGTTGGGGGTGGGGCAGCCACTGCCTCTGCAGCCAGGCTGCATCCTCCGGTGAACTGCAGATGCCTTCCCGCTGCATGCACACTAAGTCCCGTTCACTCACTGACACTGCCTGGCCACTTCCAGGCTTTCATGCTCGCCTGATCTTCAGATTGGCCCTTAGCTGGTTATTGTGAAGCATGGATATATCAACAAAATTTCAGTTAGTACAAGCAGATGAAGCAGTTTTTGCAGAATTACTTTAACAATAATACCTACTAACTGACTTTTGCATAATGCTTTTATTTATAAAAATGCCTCTTCGGCTGGGTGTGGTGGCTCACGCCTGTAATCCCAGCACTTTGGGAGGCTGAGGCGGGCAGATCACCTGAGGTTGAGAGTTCAAGACCAGCCTAACCAACATGGAGAAACCCCATCTCTACTAAAAATACAAAATTAGCCAGGCGTGGTGGTGCATGCCTGTAATCCCAGCTATTCGGGAGGCTGAGGCAGGAGAATAGGAGAATTGCTTGAACCCAGGAGGTGGAGGTTGCGGTGAGCTGATACTGTGCCACTGCACTCCAGCCTGGACGAAAAGAGCGAAACCACTCGGTCACAAACAAACAAAAAAACAAATAAATAAATAACACCTCTTCCACTCTTACTCAGTAAGAGGCATCATTGAGATATATTGTAGCACTTCACTGAGATAATGTTTACATGTAAACAACTGTAGCTGCACCATTCAGTCACTGTCACATAATCTTACCACTTTTAGAATCTTTAGCTTTTGGTCCATTGTAATGATTGTTTTAGTCTCCTGGCGAAGAGTTGGGAATGCTACAAAGAGCTAATGCTCTGTTAAAAGTGGTCTCCCTCATGTGTTTTGGAAGGAAGGTTTTGTTTTGTTTTGTTTTGTTTCAGGGAAATGTGTTTGTTGCCTGGAACAAATTTGCTTCTACTGATAACTACCTATAGCATTGAGAACTGTGGAGAAGAGTAACATATATGAACATCTTAATAAAACTACAGTCCAGATCATTGAAACCACAGTTTTTAGGGAAAGATTGGATTGGAACTGGAGTCATTACTGTCACCTTTAAACGCTTAACTTTTAAGAGAAAATAATTTAACATCAGGGACTTGTTTAACTTCCACCTGATGTTCTGTATCATTATAATTTTTATAATAGAGCTACCATTTAGGGAGCCGCCAACATATGTCAAACATTGTAAGGCATTTACATTCATTTTTATGTTGAATTTTTGCAACACTCTTTTGAAATATGTGCAGATTTTACATCCTTGGAAGCTGAAGCACAGAGAGACTGACTTGTCCAAGGCTGTCCATCTTTGAAGTGCTAGAATCCAGATCACTAAGACTCCAAAGTCCACCTTTCTTTCTCCATGTTGTTTCCTGATGCCCTGCAGCCTCCCATTGGTCTTTCTTTCTTTCTTTTTCTCTTTTCCTTTCCTTTCCTTTCCTTTCCTTTCCTTTCCTTTCCTTTCCTTTCCTTTCCTTTCCTTTTTCCTTTCCTTTTTCCTTTCCTTTTTCCTTTCCTTTCTTTCGTCTGGCTCTATGGCCCAGGCTGGAGTGCCATGGTACGATCAGGGTTCACTGCAGCCTTGACCTCCTGGGCTCAAGTGATCCTCTCTCCTCAGCTCCCTGTGTAGCTTTGGGACTACATGTGCCCTCACACCTGGCTAATTGTTTATATTTTTAGTAGAGATGGGGTTTTGCCATGTTGCCCAGGCTGGTCTAAAACTCCTGGACTCAAGCAGTCTGCCCACTGTGGCCTCCCAAATGGCGGAGATTACAGGCGTGAATCACTGCACCCAGCCCTCATTTTTTCATGAAAAAAAAATATTGATTGGTCTGTATTCTATGTGTAAGGCCTTTTGCTAAATGCCAGTGAGATTACAGAGGTAAATAATCCATAAACCTTGCCATCTAGGACTTTGTAAGAAGATAAGGAAGTGTTACAAGGCAGAATAAGCCAAATACCCTAAGAGGAAAAGACATACCTCATGATAACAGTCAGGGGGTAGACACTCTGCCTTAAGCGGTAGAATCAGAGCAGATTTCTTATGGAGATGATACCTAAACCTGGCCTTAAAGGACTGAAAGAAACAAAACCTGTCTCGATCTAAACTGGGTAACAGCTAGGTAATGTAAGACTTATTCGAGACTAATAAATATCTCATTTGATTGGAACATGAACTATACCTGGGACAGAATTGGCTAGAAAACGAAGTTAGGGTTAAATTATGGAGAACTTTGAATACCAAATGACAATCTTAAAGATAACCTTAGATTTTAAGAGCAAGACTTGGTGATATTCAACTGTGCTTACATTCTGCTTGGCAATGAGACCACTTAATCATCTCTTCACAACTTAGAACAATAGCCAGCCTCTACGTTCTAAAGCACCACGGGTATTTTGCCAACGTTAGCAAAGTTGGCAAAGCAAAGTTGACTTTGTGTTAGTCAACGATTGCTGTGTAGACTGTAACTGAAACTTGGGTTCAGTCACTCGCCACTTGCAGAGTCTAATTCACAAGAGCAAGATCTGGCATAAAGAAAGTGACTTTTGCCAAGGCTTAGCCTTGGGGAAGACGTACAGGCTCCTGCATCTAAGGGGCCACTTTGCTTTTGAGGCAGAAAGCATGGACTCTTAAAAGGGGGACTTGGCAGGAACAGCATACTGGAGAGCGAGTGAGCAGCGGGGGTCTGCGTGACTTGCTTTGGTGCTTAATCTACCAGTGGCCGGTGGTCGGGGGTCTGTGGTCAAGCTAGGTTGTATAGTGGCCTTTGTCTCAAGACACCCTCCTGGTGGGGGAGCATTCCATCAGGGACACACTTTAGGTTGTAAATTGACTGTTGTCTCTTGAGACAATCTCCTTGTGGGAGAGAGTTTCTGCTCTGGAGCTTCAATGTAAGCACATGGTTAGATAAGCTTGCAGTGTAGGGAGTGTCTGGTGAAGGGAAGGTAAAGGTTATGATTGCATTTCTGAAGAGCTTGGTAGGAAATGGGAACAGATGAAAAGAAGGAAAGAAAAAAGAAGAAATAATTTAAAAAATAACTCTCTCTCTTAGAAAAAGGGGGGTACTTGGTTACAAGACAACCTGAGGGTCTCAGTCACATTCCACAGTAACTATTTCTTTCTTGATTATGAATTGGTGGGTCAGCTGTGGTAGCAATTCTTTATGTATCTCTCATCTTTCTCTGGGGACCCGCAAACCAGTAGGGGCATGCTCTCCTTTCACAGAAGGGCAAGTATGGTGCCTCTTAAGCTTGTGCTTAGAGCTGGCACACTGTCTGTCATCCCCACATGTCACTAGCCAAAGCAGGTCACATGAGTGAGCCCCAAGTTAGGCAAAAAAGTACACTCTAACCACAGTACAATTACAGCAAGGGTATAGGTACAGGGAGGGTCAAGAATTGAGGCTAAAAATCAGTTTACCCCAAGCCCGCCTGGTCATTGCTGTCTGTGCATTTCCGTGGTTCATGCCATAAAGTGTCAGTTCAGGCCTCTGCTAAATTTGCTTCATCCTCCCAACACTCATATTGAAATTTTATTAACTCCAGCATTCTATCATCTTGTTAATCTCTCTAACATAAATATTAGCAAGTTTCTGGGATTGTATTAAATATAGCAGGGGTACAGTGGGGAGAGAGCTTCACTGATCAAGGGAGATGCTTTTGCCAGCTCTGTAGGGCTCTGGGGGAAGAATTACCAGAATCCAAAGTCAAGACAGTCCCAGTACCCTAAATATTATAAATACTACATTTTAAATGTGACGAGATAAGATCTTGTCTGTGTTTCTTCACTTAAATTAATTCTCAAGGAGAAGACGTTTTCAAAATCCCTCGATGATCACAGATGAGTCTGGCTTTTTAACCATTTGTCACCCATTGTTTCTGTGGTCTCTTATTGTATAACAAATGCCCCAAACACAGTACCTTGAAACATAACCAGCTTCTTATTTCTCATGATTCTGTGAGATGGCTGGAGTTTATCTGTTCTTCTCGCCTGGGCTCAGTCATGCAGCTGCATACAGCTGGGATCTCAGCTGAACTCAGC